CAAAAAGCAAAATCTCAAACAGGATATGTGTTTACTTATGGAGATACCGCAATATCATGGAGATCGATGAAACAAACTTTGACTGCCACATCATCAAATCACGCGGAGTTGATAGCTCTCTACGAAACAGGTAGAGAATGTGTATGGTTGCGATCAATGATCCAACATATCCAGAGTGGGTGCGGTATAGAAACAATTACTAGTCATCCGACTCCTATATATGAAGACAGTACTGCATGCATTGCTCAAGTGAAAGGAGGTTACATCAAAGGAGACCGAACAAAGCATATATCACCAAAGTTCTTCTCAACACATGATCTCGAGAAAGATGGAAAAGTTGACATCAAGCAAATCAAGTCCAGTGAGAATCTCGCTGATTTATTTACAAAAGCGTTACCCCCGAAGAAATTTGAAGAACTCGTACACAAGATTGGCATGCGTCGCCTCCGTCAATTATGCTAAGCTGAGGGGGAGAATTTTATGAACTGTACTCTTTTTCCCTTGATCAGGTTTTTATCCCACCGGGTTTTTCCTGACAAGGTTTTTAACGAGGCAGTACATAAAATTAGAATGGATTACTAAACTATGTCCATTTCACGAAGTACTCATCATTAATTGAAAAATGAACATTCAAGGGGGAGTGTTATGAAATTAATGATTGTTCATTTATTCAATTAATCAGGACTAATTTCTAGAATAGTAGATCAAGACACTCATTGATGAGTATCAATTATGTACAGTACTTCCCACTTGTATTTGTATCCATACCAAGGCTCTCCACTATAAATAGAGGCCTAATCTCTGCATTGTAATCACTATTAAGAATAAGAAGAAGAGTGAAGAGTTAATAGAGAGAAGAAATCAGAAATATATTATATCTATTCTTATAATTTTGAGTAGTTTTTCTCTCATTTTATAACAGTTACAAATTTCTACTCATATTTTAAAACTTCCATTTACTACGTGAATGATAAAAAGGAATTCATGTTGGCATTATATAGTGTATTCTCATTATGCATAAAAAATTTTGATATTATATAAGACAGTGTATATTGACATTTCATAATGATTTTTTTGTATTATATGTTGATATTGTAAATCTAATTTTTGAATAAAAATTTGAAGGCTATACTTTAATTTTTTGAATCTTTTGAGTTTTGGCCTTTGTATTTGATTGATTTTGGGTCTAATTTGTTTGGATCTTACCTCTCCAAGTGTCATTGATTTGGATTCAGTTTGATTCATTTGGTAGGCATTTCTCTACACTTATAAACTAGTTAAAACAAACGATAAGTTATTTTAACTTATAAATCAGCTGATATCATGTGCTTAATAAGCTGACTTGTAAGCATTTGAAAAAAACCTTCATGTTTTAAAGCTAATTTTTTCATTTCTGCGTCTTGATCAGATTATTTACAAAATTATCTATCACCATTAATAAATATCTCCAAATAACTTAGCTATCATTTATGTCATTTTACTTTCCCAACATTATATTTAACTTCTAAGCATCTTAAGTTATTAGTTAAAAAATGTTTATTAGTGATAAACTAATAAGAACCAACACAGAGAAAACACAAACTTTGCTTGACTTTGGTTCAGTTCAAAAATATGGGTGAGCATGGTACAGTATGGTATGATATTTACATCGTACTGATATCGTACCAAATATTTTAGTTCGGTACCTATCTCGAAACATCGATTCGATATGATCGAGATAGTTTGGTATCGGTTTTGATACAAATCAAGATGAATATATGCATAGCTAATTTACACTTTAAAATGTAATAAAATCCTTTATCTTTGAAAAAATTAAAAGTACATTTAAATATAGAAACATAAAAAATTAAAAAATGAACAATTAAATGCAAGAATCACTTATGAAACATAATTTATATTCCACATCCACAAACTAAAAAGAACGAATAACAACAAAATATTATTAGAAATATTTGTTAGAGAAATATTTTTAAATTCATCTACAAAAAATAAAACTCGAATAAAAATACAATTTTTACGGAGTAAGATATATTAACACTACAGATATATGTCCGGTTTGATGTTTTCTATATGAAACGTTATTTCGTATTGTTCCAAAAATATGTAGTACTAAGGTTCTGTTCTTTTTGGTTTGAAACATTAACTTCTAAACTTTTTCAAATTTCTTTCAATTTCTTTCAACGACTTAAAAAATATATTTATATATATTATGAATATAAAATAACATTTAATATCTCAATTTATAACATGTCACATCAAACACAAACAATGATAAATATCCAAATCTATAACACACCACATCCAACTCTGAATTTCAAGTCAAAAGAACGGTCAATTTTGTGTGATTCAACTTTTTGTACTACCTCCGTCCAAGTGTATTCATCCAGTTTGATTTTTTCGAATCAAACTGGACAAACTTTAAACTCCAATTACTCTCAATTTATATTGCATATTATCATAATGAAATACAATTTTGAAAGTTTCCAATACGATAAATTCAATAAAGTCATTTTTATGTTAAAATACATTACAATTTTTATTTTATTGAAACTCAAAGTTTATCCAGTTTTATTCGAAAAAATCATAGTGGACAAATACATTTGGACGGAGGGAGTAGTATTTTTTCATTATGGTATTTTTCTCTTAGGTTTTTTTGGTTTTTTTTTTTTGGAAAAATTTCGGCACAGGTTCTCACCCCTTAGTCCGGGAGGTAGTTCTTGGCATTGGTTTAGATCCAGGGTCGTATTGTTCGATTGAACTGAGATTTTCTCTCCAGCTATTTTTTTAGGAAGTCTCCGGGAAAATCCAAACTGGCGAATCCAGAAGCTTCTACTCCAAGCGGTCAGTCATGGCCAATGGCGGCCGGCTCTCTGCTCCTCCTCCTCCTAATCGCCGCTCATGTCATTGCTCTGGTACCCCCATTCCCGTTCAACACGCGCTATCTTCTGCTCCCAACTCTGTCTCTCTCCCATTTTCCTAATGATTTATTTCCGTTTCTCTTTTGTTGCAGGTTTACTGGGTTTTTCGACTTGCAACTGAGAAGCAGCCTCAGAGAACTAAGCGACACTAGTTCCCTGCAGGAATCTATCAACTTCTTCTCATTTGGTTGGACTCCTCATGGTAAAATGAAAACCCTACTTTTTTTCTTTTTTGATTGCACTTCTGATTTTGTGTTGTAGTTGAAATAGGGACTCAATGCTCAATTAGGAATGTATTTCATAGCAATGGGGTTCTTTTGACATTCAAACCCC